GACCCCAAGAACACCATCCCCACCGTCAAAAATGGAGGTGGAAACATTATGCTTTGGGGGTGTTTTTCTGCTAAGGGGACAGGACAACTTCACCGCATCAAAGGGACGATGGACGGGGCCATGTACCGTCAAATCTTGGGTGAGAACCTCCTTCCCTCAGCCAGGGCATTGAAAATGGGTCGTGGATGGGTATTCCAGCATGACAATGACCCAAAACACACGGCCAAGGCAACAAAGGAGAGGCTCAAGAAGAAGCACATTAAGGTCCTGGAGTGGCCTAGCCAGTCTCCAGACCTTAATCCCATAGAAAATCTGTGGAGGGAGCTGAAGGTTCGAGTTGTCAAACGTCAGCCTCGAAACCTTAATGACTTGGAGAAGATCTGCAAAGAGGAGTGGGACAAAATCCCTCCTGAGATGTGTGCAAACCTGGTGGCCAACTACAAGAAACGTCTGACCTCTGTGATTGCCAACAAGGGTTTTGCCACCAAGTACTAAGTCATGTTTTGCAGAGGGGTCAAATACTTATTTCCCTAATTAAAATGCAAATCAATTACTAACATTTTTGACATGCGTTTTTATGGATTTTCTTGTTGTTTTTCTGTCTCTCACTGTTCAAATAAACCTACCATTAAAATTATAGACTGATAATTTCTTTGTCAGTGGGCAGACGTACAAAATCAGCAGGGGATCAAATACTTTTTTCACTCACTGTAAATGTTATGTTGGGCAAACAGGACGAATGATCAGCACGAGACTAAAAGAACATCATAGAAATATTAAATTATCCCAAATACAACTGTCAGCAGTAGCAAAATACGCGTGCCAACAAGGACACTCAATTGATTTTGATAATCTTGAAGTTTCGTGCAAAACTAGCTACTATTGTCCTAGACTAATTAGAGTATCTATCAAAATTGAAAGAAATCAAAATAACTTTAACCGTTTGGATAGCTACCGCCTTAGTGCTGCGTGGAAGCGAATAATCAAATAATACATTATTTAAATGCATGCCTACAAAGGGCAGCGTACTTCAAAAGGGATTACCGTTGGTAGGGCTATTTTAATAAACACAATAGACAGGAAGGACAAGTTCAAAGGGCTCGCATAATGCACATGCATCATGTACGTTGCATCAGTAATCCCCCGTCCACCCCACATTGTGCAAGAGTGCAGAAGCGTGGTCACCACATCTACGCCTCTATATAATGAACGGAACAGTAAGGCTTCTCCACAAATCTGGCTGTCGCCTGATGAAGCTAGTTGTAATTACTGGCGAAACGTCGGAATCAGATTGTAAATGTTGTGGCTTGGCTCTCCAACACACCGGTGTTGCTGTACTAGTGACGAATTGGCCACGTTCTGTTTACGTGACAATCCCTTACTAGTTGGCTGTGTCGGGTGGTGGCGGGTTTTAACGACACATTTACATATTTACGCGATTTAACCCAAAAACCTCTATCATGGATGATATTGGTCGCGAAAGCCGACGTGTTAAAGTGTTGATATTGCATATCGTCCTTTCCAAATCCATTTAATCAAGCCCATTATTTCAGACCAGGTGACAACCATGCCAGGTTAAAGACATCCTTTGCAAGGGACACTTGGATGTATACCTAAGACTCCTAATTGGTGGACACTTGCTCCTGTGTTGAGCATAATGTTTACGTGCTCATCATTTCACATCGGCTGCATTTTGCCACCTTCTTCGCAGAAATCTAGAGAGGCGTGAAGAGAGATGGAGAGGATGGCGAGAGTTGGAGACTGCGCCTGTTTACCACGTGGGGTAACGACGAGGAGTTCGTCTTTAAAAATAAAACATTTTGTGATGCGAGCTGTCGTGAACAGAGGCACACAGAGTTTCGGAGCAGGGAAGAGAGTCGGCAGGAGCGAATACCACTGGGTAGGCAGTGATGAGTACCATTGGGTAGGCAGTGGCGAGTACCACTGGGTAGGCAGTGGCAAGTACCACTGGGTAGGCAGTGGCGAATACCACTGGGTAGGCAGTGATGAGTACCATTGGGTAGGCAGTGGCAAGTCCCACTTGGTAGGCAGTGGTGAGTACCACTGGGTAGGCAGTGGCAAGTACCACTGGGTAGGCAGTGATGAATACCATTGGGTAGGCAGTGGCAAGTACCACTGGGTAGGCAGTGGCGAGTACCACTGGGTAGGCAGTGGCAAGTACCACTGGGTAGGCAGTGGCAAGTACCACTGGGTAGGCAGTGATGAGTACCATTGGGTAGGCAGTGGCGAGTACCACTGGGTAGGCAGTGGCGAGTACCACTGGGTAGGCAGTGGCAAGTACCACTGGGTAGGCAGTGATGAGTACCATTGGGTAGGCAGTGGCAAGTACCACTGGGTAGGCAGTGGCGAGTACCACTGGGTAGGCAGTGGCAAGTACCACTGGGTAGGCAGTGGCAAGTACCACTGGGTAGGCAGTGATGAGTACCATTGGGTAGGCAGTGGCGAGTACCACTGGGTAGGCAGTGGCGAGTATCACTGGGTAGGCAGTGGCAAGTACCACTGGGTAGGCAATGGCAAGTACCACTGGGTAGGCAATGGCAAGTACCACTGGGTAGGCAGTGGCAAGTACCATTGGGTAGGCAGTGGCGAGTACCATTGGGTAGGCAGTGGCGAGTACCACTGGGTAGGCAGTGGCAAGTACCACTGGGTAGGCAGTGGCAAGTACCACTGGGTAGGCAGTGATGAGTACCATTGGGTAGGCAGTGGCGAGTACCACTGGGTAGGCAGTGGCAAGTACCACTGGGTAGGCAGTGGCGAGTACCACTGGGTAGGCAGTGGCAAGTACCACTGGGTAGGCAGTGGCGAGTACCACTGGGTAGGCAGCGGTGAGGAAACGCCTCGAGATCGTGGTATTTTGGCACCAATGCTCGTGCTCATTTTTGAAATAAGATAAATTTTAAAAACATTGATTTTAATGCAAATATTTGAAAGCACTTGCAAATTAGGCACCAGAAAAAGGAAAAACGGTGTGTTTTGTTCCATTGCTGCTGCAACAGTAACTTGGGCGACCTTAGGTTCACCTTATTTATTTATATACTATTCATATGATTTGTCCAAATGTCACGTCGAATGTCTGTGGAATAATATCCATAATCCTAATGCAAATGTCTTGACAGACAAGGAGCAAATATTGCTGTTCGGTAATTAATTTTATGGCACATGCGATAACACCTGCAGATACATTTTTCACCTAAAATTGCAATTAGACGAGTATAGTCGTGTAAATTGTAGTCGTTATCGTGTGAAGAAATGAAAGCGGCATTTAACACCAAAAATAAACGCTCCAGTTGCAGAAACATTAAGTTGCATCCAATCATTAGGTTTCCCAGCATACGACTATGAACTTCTGTAAAACAGGCTCACTTCCAGAGAATGTTACGTGAGAAGATGGGGTTATGCTCTCAAATCGGTGGCGGATCTAAAAACTTCTCACAGGGGGTGGGGGACGAGGGTGATAGAGGAGGTGGGGACCCCGATATTTCAAGACTTTTAAATAGAGCAATAAAATATCAATTTTCAGGCTCTCAAAGCCGGTTGCGATCACGCCCGTCGCCCTCCTCCCACCCATCACCGCCTTTTGATATGCCTCTGTGTGAAATGTTAAACATTTTTAAATTTTAATTGTGGATAAATTTCCAGTGATTTTTTTATTTTTACAAAAGGATGTTAGCTCCTCACACATTGCACGAGAGTGCCTTTACTTCAGTGTGTTTACCCCCAGACCATCGGCCTACACTCACACAAAAGGCCATGGTGAAAGGGAGATGGGGCAATGTTGGTCCCGTTCAATGCAGAATGCATAGAGCACCGCTTTGAATGTCAAGAGCAGACTGGTTTACCCCCTGTTTGTAGACAACAACAACACAAAACAAGCAGCTTTTTTGCCGCGTAAAAGATTCGGAGGGCGTGATGAGGCACTCGTTTGACGATGCCAGGCAGGCCCGGACACACAGCTCGCTCATTAGCGACGCCGATGCATGCCTGCATGCGCTGCAGTAAAATGCTTCGGGCAAACATAACCTGGCATGATCTCGCCGTTTAGGGTGCCTTTTTAAAGAGGGCGAGGAGCCACAGGTCACCCAATAACTGCTTTGTTGTGAACTCTATTTCTCATCTACAATGGGATTTAGTTTCATCTCCCTCCCTTTGGTGATATATTACTCTTGTGGTACCTAAAAAAAAAATATATCCAAAAATATAGCCTTCATTCTTCAACCATGAACAATATTTTTTAAGTGGTCATATATATATAATTATAAAGTAATTTGCGAAAGTAGAGCGTGTAATTTAACATTGGATGTTATTATATCAAAACGTATATAAACAATTGTAAATGAAAACAACCTTTAAAAAAAAACCCCGTGACTTTGTTGCCAGCCCACTTGATCATCCTTAACTTCACTTTGTGCCTGAATAAAGGCTGCAGAGAGGTGCTGGGTAATGACACGTTGTTACTTCATCGTCTCGTTGCCTTCGGACCATCAATCTCAGCTGGAACTCAGGCCGCATGTGGCAGAAACCTCATTGCCTTGCTTTGGCCACATGCGTGCTTCTTACAACAACAAAAAAATCCCTTCTGAGGTATTGCAGCATTAGGGCTGTTGAGGGAGGCCAGGGAAGGAATGGAGGACTCCACACAGTGCTGCGGTAATGCGGCAGCGCGGATCTCCTTGGGGGATCCTGTGAGCAAAATAATAAAGGCTCTGGATATCCCCAGGAAACAGGGCAACGCTGTTACAGCCACAGCTCAGGTTTCTCCCATCACTTAAACAGCCCCTGAGTGAGAACACTTACCCCTCCAGGAAAGAAACCAACAATGCCGCACGTCTGTCCAAGAGCTGTGTAAAACAATTGAGATGAAAAAAATATAAAGCTGATGGGAAAGGGCTCCTGGCAAGCGTGACCGCCAGGTCGATGTATTGATAATGTGCAATTTTTGTCCTTGGAAACACGGACTATAAATTAAACGAGATACTCACAGAGTTTATGCTTCGGATGTGCACTTGTTCAAGCGGTTTAGTCGGTCTAAGAAGCAGATATACAGTAAATTATTGGCAGCAGTTTGTAAGCTCCTAAAATAGACATGTGAGTTTGAACACGAGCTCAAGTGTATTTCACCAAGGCATCACATTTATGCGTGTGCATTGCAAAGAATTTAAGTTTAAAACATGCAGCAACGATTTGTTACAAAAGCCTATAAGCAGCCTTCATACATCTTTGGAAGCTTGCTCCCCACAACATACCTATACCATCTGCCAGGTCTATATATAGATCATCGCATGACAGCGGATCTGTAGCTTATAAATAGACTTCGCATGCATTACACCTTCTGCCAGAAGCAGCATAATCAAAAACCCTGTATGCAGCCTTCATATGATATGCAAGTTAAATGAATGGAATGTAAACAACCTATGATCCTATTTTTATCACTGGCTCACGTGAACACTAAACAAAACCCACAGCACTGAATAATATATTGAAATGCAAACAAACCAGGGAAATCATTACATGTCCACGCGTTGCATATCTGTCAGCGTTGCCTTCAAAATAGGAAAGTTAAACTTTAATTGTCTTGTGTGAAGCATCCAGTGAAATCTGGACGAGCTGATGTCATTTACATTTTTCTGGCGTTTCAAGAAGCTCTCCCATGTCCCATTGCCCTCTACATCATATGGCTGCATCAAGTTACCCATCTCCAAAGCAAATAAAGATATGTTATACACACCCCGGAGCCGCGCATACATTTTGACGCTGCCACTTAGGTGCTTGAGGATATTTGTTTTCAGATCATTGAACATCGCGCACGTTTTTTTTTTAACCATGTGCAAGCCGTCACCGAATGTAAACAGGTAGAAAACATGAGAATCGGCAAACGGACTGTAAGGCTGATATGGGAGAGCCCCCTTAGAACAGGCTTTACAGCCCAGCTTCCACCGCACATCTTACAGCGAATTATCCCATCACATCAAGGGGCACCGGTCGTTCAAGGGGAAGATGAGACTTCGCTTCAAAGTTGCGAGCTGTCCGCGCACCTAAATTATACCTCGGCAATTTACACACAGACGTGTCACTCTCATCAGAGATCCCATCATAAGTTATAGTCCGAAGGTTTAGAAAAAAAACACTTGGCGTTACGTTCTTTTCCAAACGATGTCACGTAAATGTGTTTTTTTTTCTGCGGTGGAGTGTACCGCTGAATGCTGTGTGCGCTCCACCACAAAACCAACGAATGTTTTTTTGTCTCAGATCACAAAAAAATGCTTGCAGGGATCTCGAGGAGGTGTCGTATCGGTACCGGCGTGGCACGCTGAGTCAAGCTTAGTCGGGCCTATATAAATGCGCAAACCGTATCACAACTTCAGGTGTTCTTGTGTGAATGTGACCCCGGGTAGGGGGGGGGGGTGCCCACACCGATATCCACTGCGCTGGCAAAGTCACGCGTGGCAACACACACCAGTTTCCCAGAAATGACGCTTCCACAAGGTTAATGTTATTTTCCATCCCAGCTGTTTCCACCTGCCTCGGAACGCGAGTCACCGCGAAAAAAAAACATCTTTATTGCTCTTCCCCTCGTGTGACTGGGGCCATTTAAAGAACCGTTAAACATGCTAAACCCTCGTCATTAAAAGCTGCTCTTAAAAGCCTGATACACGTGTGGATGTCTTTGTCCCCTGAGCAATGGTCATCACTCATGTTGCACTTTCAGCCGTACCAGGCAAGGATCACCGCACGTTACCCTGCCGAAGGATAGTTGTTGCACCTCGTTTGTTTGGTGCACCGAATAAAATGCCGATGACAACCAGCGGCATGGACTGGAACATGCGCCAAGAAGTCTGTTGTGACAATCAAGAAGACAAGCATTTGACTCTGTTGGCATATTTCATCCTCCTTCTCTACTCCAATGTGTGGCTCCGAGTCCGATCTCGGATCAGGTTCACGATCGCACTCACCACCTTCAGAATCCTCTGTGGGCTCATCCCTTGCCCACCTCTCCCCCTCTCATCTCAACTCCCTCGTACGCAATCTCCGCTCCAGCAACCCAAAGCTTTCTCTTTCAAGGCCCACAGGCAACTGTTGCTCATCCATAAAATCCTTATTTGGCAAACTCTGCGCTATACTTAGCCAATTTATTATCCCCATTGCGAAACCCAAGGTGTCCATATAATTGCCTTTTAAATAGCCCCAGAACAAGAATAGGTGACGAAGCATTTTGCCTTTGCAGCACCGATGCTTTGGAACAACCTTGTTTCTTCCCTTCAAAATCGTAAATGAAATGTACGTTCCGAAAATATCCTGAAGCAGAAGATTAGTGCCGGATACAGCCATATTCGTAAATGTGATTTGTAACTTGAATCCTTACCTGTGTATCGATGGTGCAATGTTAACGAGCCATTTTTTTTATTGAGGGACTACTTCTGTGCTATCTTGGTGTGGTCTGGGACTATTTTTGTTGTCGTGTTTTGCTGCCTTGGCCAAGCTTGACATCGGACTCATATAATACATTTATTTATTTATAACCTATATTTAGTGACTTGCTTAAGTTTTTTCTCTATTTTGCACTCCAATCGTTTTTTTCTCTATCATTTGCTGTTGTAACTCGCTGGCTTCATAGCTCATCGGATTCCTCGTCCGGTCTAAATAAAGATTTCTGATTCTGCTCAGTGGGGTGTCGTGCATTCTCCTCCACTCCCACCACCGTCTCCCTTCTCCCAGTGATCCTCCGTATTGACTCCCTCCTACCCCTTTTCTGTTCCAGGCACAAGATCTTCCTTTTTCCCTCTGACGATGACTCTCTCTCTCTCTCGATACCAAATAAACATGCCCACTTGTTTTTTTTTCCCGTAAAGTGTCCGGAGATGAGCACGGATGGCTACGTACGGTGCTAAAGAAGAGAATCGTCAAATAATCCATTGTTTAAACGCATGCCGAAACAGGCCACCATACATCAATGGGGAATCACCTGTTCGCAGACAGTAACATGTACTGCTATTTAATTGCACGCAAACGACAGGAGGGACAAGAAAAATGTGCATGCATAATGCGTGTCGATTACCATATGAACAACCCAACCGGCCATGGATACCCACAGTCATTTATATGCATTCATTAATCCCCCCCCACTCCCCACTTCGCTCAAGAAGGGCTCACAAGTGACGTCATCACATCTACCCCTCTATTTAAGGAACGATACAGGAGGATTTCTCCACAAATCTGACTGTCGCCCGATGAAGCAAGTTGTAATTACTGGCGAAACGTCGTACTCAGATTGTTCATTTTGTGGATTTGTTTTTCAACACACCGGTGTGCTGTGCTAGTAAAGAATTAGCATGTTATGTGTACGTGACAAACATTTATATTTACGAGATCTAACCCCCCCCCAAAAAAAAAACTATATTACATGCCGTTGGATTTAGACGCTGTATAACTACACACTGTTGTATTGTTGGCATTGGTTATGCCTCTGTGTGGAAGAGGAAGAAAACAATATTTTAAACCAATGACGACATGCACAAGTTGAAACGGGGAACTTTTCCTGTCACCACTGCGCGACAACCGGTACAAAATGCACTGTAACGGATCCCATATTAAACATTAGGGGAATCAAACTTTAATTGCATGCGCGAAGCACTCAGCAATTATCTTATGAACATCCAGCTATTTGTGCGGCTGTGGTCAAAAGAAATGCACGTGGATAAAGAGTTGGCTTAATCCATTTATAGTTGTGTTAAGGTGTGTATTTAAGCTATTCATGTTCGTGTTACTGTCAGAATTACAATGAATTAAATTTTTAAAAAGCATGTTAATTAACCCCATCAGTTTCAAGTGCTTGACTAATTAGAAGGCTGTAAACGGCGCAGTGGCCAGGTACGATAACAATAATGATTAATAATTAGGAATGCTGGCGCCATCCTTCGATCTCTCCTCCTTCACTGGGGCACAGATTCACTCTGCCGTCTTTCACTGCCAACGCCTCCATTTCAACGAGTTCCTCTTTTATGTCCGTTTTGGAAAATTACCTCTGCCACGATCATTATTCGTCTTCACCGTCATCTCTGTCATCCGTGGATAATTGGGATGAATGTAGCGCCGCGCTGTCTTTTTTAGCTTCTCAATATTCATGGACGGAACGGATAACAGATTAATTTCGCTACTCCTTCCCGTTATCTGTGATATCGCGAATAATTTGGATACAGTACCGACCTACAGATCAGTTGAGCCCCCAGAAATAGGTATCAGTTGACCATATAAATGAAACACAATGCCATAGAAAGTATGCTGTCATCTTCATTTGTTCATTTTAAGCATATTCTATTCACGTGCTATTTGCAAACAAAAAAATAACAACCATATGTTATACGTTATACACGGATGGTTTACTAACATCTGGTTTACATAAGAGGCAATTTTTAACTTGCCTGACCGCAATATACTTTTTAGGTAACTGTCTGTTTGAGTTTTTTCCATTAAATATAATTACAGTGTTTTAAAACCAAAATGCATCAAGTGGGTATCTAAGACCATCATCAGTGAACACAGAGTGGGTAGGCATTACACGTAACTGTTCCATGGTTACTTTAAACAATTTTCATGTTGCAGTGTTTGCAAAGCAAATTTAATTTCAGCCGATCATTAGAATAGCTTCTCGAGTACTTAGAATGCCAACGAGACCCCTTTTACTTCATGCAATAGAATACAAAGACAAAGATCCCCCATAGAGCTTTAACAGACTGTAGGGGCAAGTGCTGTTAGCGAGCACCTATGAAGGCCAGAACGGTACACGAGGGGGTGGGTGGCCAGCACCACGCCCGACCGCCTTAGTCTCCCCAGTGGCGATGTTTACACACCGCACTAGGTACTCATTTGAGGCTGAGTCGTCCTAAGGGAGGCCCAGGACCGGTTCAGATAATCGTCACTGGTGTTGGCCGTGAGCGGAAATCGAACCCGGGTCGCCAGGTTCATAGCGCAGCGCGCTAACCGCTACACTACCGCTCCCCACACAATAGAATGCACATACACGTACACATACACGTACACGCACACGCGATGCAGTGCTGACTGACCCTCAAAACTGAGGTTCCACAACGAGGCGCATTCCAACATCTCCTTCAAGCCATATCGTGGCTGCCTAAAATATGTTGACGCGAGCTGAATTGAATGCCTCACAATTGTTTCTGTGGGGAAAATATTTTCAACGGCACAAGTGTAATATAGTTTGCCACTATTAAACGCATAAAACAATGGCTATATTAAATAAGACATAAAACACGTCACTCACAAAACCTACATTCTATTGAGCTTCATACAATTATAATTGGGGGATATACTCTTTTGGTTCTTTGGGTAAAGTCACGTAGGTATAAAATAAATTAAATCACGACGTTTCGGAAGCAACACAAGCGTCCGTCATCGGGTGGAACAGCCACAGCAAGAAACATTTGCTGTAGATCTAAATTGGGGGATAGTTCGCTCCTTACAAGCAGTTACGTAAACACTGGCTTTAAAAACAGAAGCTAGAACGCTTGGATGAGGTCATTTCAAGACTCGTCATCGTTTGCTTCATCTGCCAGTCTCTGGACAACCATGACCATAGCCTGACACAGATGCCACGATGCTTCTGCGGGTTACGTGTCACTTATTCCTGCTCTCATAATGCCCTTCCATTTAAACGTACGAGTGATTTAGCTCCCCGGGTGTGCTTTCATGCTGTACCACGTGTTCTTCATCGTTTCCCTCCACTTGCTGGGAGTTTCTTGAAGAAGAAAAAAAGTGAATAAGCTCGCTCCCCGGCACGCACGTGATGCCGCTGACAGCACGCGAAGTGAAAAGTCAGGCATAACGCAGAACACCACCAGAATGAACAAAAAACGGATCAGATAACTATACGGCGCGAGTGGTAAGAACCTGCGCAGTAGTGTGATTTGTATCAGTCCACCTTCAGAACATTATCTGCTGTGAATTTTGGGAGAACTTGCGGTATATTTTCATATTTATCCACCGCTCTTTTTTTTGTATCCGAAGAGACATTGCAGCAGAGGGCTACACAAAAGCCCAGTGGACAATCTGTTTCTGCAGCGATTGTGAGGTTGGACATGTTTTAACAAGATACCACCACATCTTTGTGCCATTTCCAATACTTATTTCGAACAAGACAACGAAATGAATAACTTACAGGGAACCAAAATTAACTCAACAAAGTTGGTTCACATGCTACGCTGCTAAAAATATATAATATAAGGCCTTAAAGTTTGGTGATGGTTGCTTGAAAGCTAGTAGCCAGCTGCATATACACTATTAAGGGTATTATTTTGTCATTTAGACTAATATAGGGATAATTACTTGATTAAAGCTGCAATTTTTATTTATTTACGTTCTTTCCCAAAATGTATCTAACAAAAGTCTGTTTTGTGATTGAAATATACTGCACATTTGTATATGTTTTCTTTCGGAGTTTTCAAAAATAGAAATGGCAAATAAAAAAATTACTCAATGTTTTTGTTATATTTAGTCATTTCCTATTGATATCATAGAGGGGTCAATTTAATATATCTATGTTGTAGAAAAATCAATGTCCAAAGCACACCAATTACCACAATGCTTTGGTACAAGTGCTCTTGTACCTTTCAAGCCAGTGCTGATGGGCACATATTTTTAGCTGCTGACGTCAAAGCAAACAGAAATAAATGGGGGGGGGTCACATCTCCAACTGTTTACAAGTTGGGTAATTTATAGCAGCATGGTTTTTTTTTGGAGTTTGTACCACCAGCTCATGTTGATTCGGAGATGGCTTGTACCTTGAGCCGGGCAAGTCTGAGCCCTTTTGAATGCTACCAGAAACTCTCGAACGCGTAAAAAGTATGTTTATTTTTGAATGCTGTGACCGCCTACTCCTGTCGAAAGAGTAAAAGGGGTCCAAGTAATGTGTAAGGTCAATCCAGTCATTGTGTGATGAGTGTCCATTCGTTAATTTATGTACAGCGAACAGGTATTACATTATACTCATCAAATGTGGATGCTGGCTTTGTCAGTCGCAAAGACTCACTTACAAAGCGATGACTCTTAACGCAACCAATGAATAGCACAGCATGTGTTAGAACATGCATTCTACCCGTTAATCTCTGGATGGAGCAGGTAATTTTTGTTCAATGTAAATAACCTAAAAATACAGAAATAATGTACTAAACGGAATCTGTAATACGCTTTAATTTGCACAGAATCTGATTATGAATGTCCCGTGTATTTTCATTAAAAAATTTGCAACGAAAAAATGTCAGAAATCAAAGTATATTAACTCATCTCATCAACAGAAGTCTTGTTTTCCTAAAGATTCTTTTTTTTACAAAAACATATTTTCAGTAAGTAGTGCACGTTATTAAGTTTCATTAAAAACCAGGGACAGAAAATTCATGCATAAAATTCATGCATATGCATGAATTTTGTATTTTTTGTCCTCGGAAATATTTAATTGGCACTAATCGCCTCGCAATGCGATGACGTCACATGTAATGATGTCGTCGGTAGAGGAGGCGCTCGCATGGCACGTGATGTTGAGCGATGACATCACGTGCAATTACCTCATCTCGTTATGTCACGCGTAATTACGTCATCGACTTAGCTGACAAAGCAATTCATTTCAGCTGTGGTTTTTATGGCTCAGTTTTGGGCAATCCTTGAATCAATTTGGTGAGTTTCATGTTGGGTACGTCCCCGGTAGCCATGCAAGCGTATAGCAAACGTTTGTGCATATTTGGGTCATCATTACGAGAGTTATCACGTGTATTTAATTATATATAACTCCGTGTAAAGTGGCTGTTTCACATGTATATATCTGATAGTGAAGATGGAGAATCGGATAGGAAACGACTTTCAAAAACAAAAAGACAGAGAAATATGTTACCAAAAAAATACATCTAAAAAAAACAAAAAAAGCTATTAACAAAAAATAAGGTGTTTCTAACAAGCTAAAAAAAGATATAGGTGTGGCTGCAAAGGCATGCTTGACAAGCTCCTATGTGAACAGAGGTGCAAATTGTCAGCCTCAAGACTTGAGTCGCTTCAGCCTCACGACTAAGATGTAGCTGCTCCACACAGCAGTGATGCAGCCTTCATCAGGAGACTTCTTGCCTAAAGAGAGGTACGAGTAACG